CCGTTCGACAATCTGCCCGCCCACGAGTCACCTCAACCCGACCGCATTCAAGAGGCACAGTGGAGAGAAAGGGGACGAAAAGAACATGAAAACGCTCGCTACTATTTCTCGTACTTGATGAACAACAAAAGCGTATTTTCCCCCACCCACAGCGTAAACACAAAAATAACATACCGATAACGGCATGTTTTCTACTGGTTCCCTTCCTTTCACTGTTTACTGAACTGAACACCCAACCTGCCAAGAGGGACAGGGAGCCTTTTTTACTTCATTTATAAAACTCCCGACTGGAATAATAAGCGCGCGCAATTCAATAACAGTACAATAGTTGCAAAAAGCATGCGTGTGTTTGCGATGTGTTTAGTGAACTCCAGGAGATCAGTCCTGCAGTTTTTTTAAAATGCTCACCTAGAATAAGTTATAAAAAAAAAAAAAAAAAAAAACTTTTAATGTGAATTCGAGTTTATAATAAAATTTATAAACTCTGGATACGCTAGCACGATAACGACTGAGTAGCGAGTTCGATACTCACTGGATACCCCATACTTTCGGCCTTGTGCCACATCTAAGCTATGCTCGGAAAATCACTTGGAACCTTGAGGCGGTGTAATGGTTAGCAAGCTTGTCTTGCTAGAATGATAACGACTGAAGAGTGAGTGCGATTCCCACTGGGTGTCCCATACTCTCGGCCTTGTGCCATATCTAAGCTACGCTTGGAAAATCACTGCAAACTCTGAGTAACAATATCCTAACTTATATATACAAAAAGATATTCACACATACTTTTAAAATTAGTAATACGCGTATTTACGTTTAGCGTTTATTTAATTTAGAAATTCAAGTTCCGATTTATTATACCGTTTTTCCTATTCATACTGTTGCTCTTCTTTCCAACTCTAGGTGAGATAATAGGGTAGACTGGCCTCTTTATAGCCTTAATGTGAGATCTAGTTTAAGAGAAAAAAAATCAAGTCCATACCGTGAAGAATGCAACCGTAACTGTGGCGGACTGACTAGGGTGTTGGTTGGTTGTTTTATGGCATATCAACCTCAGTGGCTCATTTAATGCCAACAAATTTTTTGTTCCTGGTAATATTTGTTTCCTTCATAAATCTATTTTTGGTAATATTTTTGTCTTCAAAAATGTATTGCTGGCAATATTTTTTAAAAATGTATTTCTGGTATTAAAATTTATTTTCACACTTTCATAGTGTGTTGACCCTAGTTTGGGGGTTAACTATTTACCCATAGCTGGGACCCTAACAGGTACTACCACCCCGGGTCAGGATGGACCTGGGAACACCAGCAATTAAGAGGTGGTTCCACGCCCCTCAAAACCTCCTAATCAGAGGCATTGCTGTTGGACGTAATTTATCGTCTTACCTTGGACGGCTGGCCAGGGTGTCAGCTTACCCGATGGCAAGTGGGCCACAGAGAAAGTGCCCCCTATATCAAATATAATTGGCATAAAGAAACAAACACAGACAACTACTTTCGTAATAAAAACGAGTAAGAACCTTATAAGAGAGCATTTTGAAAGCAAAAGATCATAAACAATTTTAAGAAATTCGTTGCCCGAGGAGAATTTAAAGCCATATATCCATTGAAAAAAAAAATTAATTAATTAAAGGCATAAGTAATTACTGTAGGTCTGGGGGAGCAAGAAATCAGAAGGCAATTCCAGAGATGAGAATTGCAAGAGAAGAAACTATTGAAATGAACTTACGGTTTCATCTAGCTATTTCAACAGTAAAACGATGAGACCTAGGTGCCAATCTAGTACTGCCCTTAAATTCACGCGTTCGAGGTACCAAAAAGGAGAGCACATTTGAACAACTTCCATGAAATATTTATAGAGTTGAAACAGATCAGGGCCGATAATATTACAGGTATGATAGTAATATCCAATGAATGGAAGAATGCTAGATTTTTTTATAGTAAAAAAGAAAAAAAAAGGTACAGTTGAAATTCCTGGGACAGAGAAAAAGAAAAGAAGGCTGAAAGAATCCCCTACAGAACCGACTGAATAGAGAAAGCAGACTCAACGGGTTTTTGTGAATGGACGGCAAAACAGGGACAAAGAAATATAGTAAAGAGTGAATTTCTGATAGCAACAAAAGAAAGGTTTCGTTTGTTTTGTCTTAGTTTATTTTGTTTTATGGCACATCAATTTTAATGGGTTATTTAATGCCAACACGATTTTTAGGATAGGTTCGTATGAATAGAATATGTATTCTTTGTAAGAAATCAGTTTGTAGATCAGATTTCATTGACGTATTTTTACAAAGAGATTTTGTCTAGAGTCAAATTGCTGGTAATTTTTTTCCAAAAATATATTACTAATATTTTTAGTATTAAAAAAAATCTGTTTTATACTTTCATAGTCTCTTGACCCCATTTTGGGGGTTAACTATTTGCCCATAGTTGAGACCCAAACAATTGCTACCACCCCGGGCCAGTGTGGATCTTGGAACAACAGCAATTAAAAGGTGGTTCTATGACATAGTTTATCGTCATACGCAGGACTGTACAGAAATATAAATTTGTATTAACGAAAGGCTATTTTTAAGACAAGTTCAATTGTAGGGTTAAACGTTATCTCTCTGCATTTTTACACTCATACATCATCATAGAGTGACCCTCGACCTTGAGTGGCACTTGGGCCTTTTATTAGGTGAACATTAGTAAAACTTTGAAATCATCTCATTTCTGGTAATGAAAATAAGCTAAGAAAAAGATGAAAACCTCACCATGGGAATAAACTTATTCATTGCATGCTTCATTCTGATATTGGATCGTTTTAATTCATTCCATTATGTAATGAAAATCATATTACTTATAGCTTTGAAATAAAAGTTACATCTATAGAAAGTTTGACATTTTTTCAGTCACTGTATATATACACACACACAATGAATGTGGTGAAATAATTTATTACATGGAACCTTAAAATGGTCTGTTTTTATTTAAATTATTTGCTCTGGATTTACATTGAGCTCTCTGGATTTTATTCTCCTTAGGTTTACTCATACGGATTACCTAGTTTTTCATCAACTATATATATATATATATATATATATATATATATATATATATATATAGTGTGTGTGTGTGTCACTGTGGCTTTGTCGCCCACAGCAAGGTTGCCCTAGTATCACATTGAAAAACCTCATTTTCTCCACAATGGCCCCTGCTAGCATCCTTAAGTGTAAAGCGAAAGGCACCATCCAATGCTGACCCTCATTTATCGTTCACGATAGGAGAGTTCACTAGATTTCATATATATATATATATATATATATATATATACACACACACACACAGAGGGGGCGAAGGGTTCATGAATCCAACGCATGCCTTACATTTTTTTTCCAGGAAAAATAATTTTGTATAATATAAAATTCATTCTTGATAATTTTCACGATCCTCTTTTTCTTGTATTATTTATTTTATTTTTTTGTATTCCCCATTTCTTAGGATAATTATTACAAGTGGCATTATTTAGGGAGAGTAAGTAGAGAAAATCTTTCTTGTGAGAAAAGGCGCAAGTAAAAGCAATTAATTTACGAGCCTTTTTAGTAGGGAGCATGAGAGACAGAACGTAATAGTGAGTGGTGGAAAGAGAGACAGCCACCGAAAAGCAGAATTTTTTTTGCTTGCGTTAGAAAAAGCTGTGGCTTTAGCATTCTCTATTTTATTATTACCGACAAGCTAGCTGCAAGAAAAGGAGTGACAGAATAATAAAGATTTTGGGAGGTGGGAGGTCAGAGAGAAAGCCACAGAAATGCTGATATTCTTTTGCTTTCTTTCCAGCCGTATTAAGCCAGCAGACACTCTCTACTGAAGTGGAGTGAATTTAAATGAAAACAATATTAATTTAGTTTACGTCAAATTAAGAATTTTCCCTTTTTCTGTCATCAATCAATGTCATTTTCTGACACCTGTCGTCAAGCGATAATTGTTAATTTATTTTTCTCGTAAACAATCGCGGTCATCATTGTCGCCAGGGTATTACTAATAGGCGGCGGTGGGATATCAAGTCCAGTGGAGAAGGGTATCAAGTCTAAAATTGACCCCGTTGGCCGAAATATATTTAATCACATTAAAATTAGTTCATATCACTTTCACAGATGGTTGGTGGGTGGCGAATTATTTTTCGGGTGCACATAATTTTCCTTCTCCACCTTAGCGATTACCCTATATAATGGACTGCATTCTCTGGTTCCCAAGTCACCCTGCACCTATATATATATATATATATATGAAACAGTGAGTACTGGTACTATTTAAATGCAAGGATAATCGCTATCTTCTTTTTTCTTAATTCTTGTTTTTTTATTATTTTTTCTCATATTATTTACACTTGCATCGTGGTGGCTTTATTGACTTGCATGGAGTGAAATTGTTAACAAAAATAACATGGTAAAAGAACATACGTCAAACTTTAAAATTAATTATTATGTTCGTTACCGCGCGGTGCTAATTCAAGTTTTAAATAGCATCGAGCTGTGAAGAAATATATATATATATATATATATATATATATGCGTATCATGCGACCTTTGAAGACCTAATTTTGAAGGTAATTTGACTGCAGTGAATGGCTATATAATTTGCTTAACAACGCAACCTGAGCCGGTAATTTTGTATCTCGTTTATGACTCAACCCACTTAAAATTAACTTCCAAATTAGCTACGTAAAAGTCGCATGATACGCATGTACATGCTATATATATATATATATATATATATATATATATATATATATATATGAATATATATATGTGCACATTAGATTTGTTGTTTTGATTTTTGAGTTTATTAACATTTTGCGTTTTAGATAATTTACTGATAAAAGTCGTACCAAATGCACCCATACTTGGAGAGGGAGAGAAGGGTGTAGATTCCTATCTTTCCCCAAGGCTATTTGCTCATAAGTTAATATAACGAACGCGAGTGGATTTGGAATTCCAATTACGAGCCGCACGTCCAAACTTTTAGCGCTCGGTATTCATAAGCGGTCACTTATCATGGTACTAACCAGGCTCGATGTTGCTTAACTACGGTGATTGTTCGAGAACCGATGTTTCAACGCGATATGGCCGTAAGCACAGCTGTTTAGAACCCAGGCGTATTTTGATACTCTCTAGTGAGAATAAGTCCAGAAGACTTACGCGGACTTTTCTCTCTCTATCTCTCATGGATAATTATTGGATCCAGGCGAAGTTTTTAACAAAAAAGTATTGGTTGCTCATAGGGAAAGAGGTGTTTACTTCTTTTCTCTTATATGGATCTTTAACAGTAAGCACTACAGTTTGTAACTGTCTGGTATAAAACTACAATTTCTATTTTATTATTCATGTCCGAAAAGAAAAACTAGCCGTACAGTTTGAACAAAAAAAAAAAATACACAAAGGACAATATTTTTTCATAAATATATTTTTTTTTACATTCCATAAAATTTCTTGCAATCTATTACGTTAAGAAAAAGAAAATGATAACTCAACATACTCTGTAAGTTGTTTTATTAAGATCTCTGAATGGCCAGGCCGCCCGGTCTTCTCCCCATTGAACACATATTTAACAATGTGCAGCAAAAGCTCGTTTATTTCTCCTCTCTTGTTGTAGAACATCAACAGGTGCAATAGACATAGAATAATGTATTTGCCACTTGTAAGACCGTATGCATTGAGAAGACACGCATTAGTATTTGTATCAGTCGATATTACTCAACTGTATGCGAACATACAGCAGTTTAATAGGGAGATGAAGTAATATCGACTGATACTACACTTATTTTGGAACCTGTGCAGGTATTGATCTGTGCATGTGATCATTTGCTGTAACCCAAGTATACTGCAAGTTTAATGTGTAAATTGAAATACGTTTACAGAGTGTTTCAACTTTATTTTCTCTCACTACATACATATATAGGGTCAAGGATTTTTAACTTGAATGTGCTCGTTTTTTTTTTTTTTTTGGGGTAAAAAGAATATGAAAACAAGTGAAATTCAAATAATTCTATGTTTAAATCAATGAAATGGATATACTGATCGTATCTCTCAAACACACGAAAAAGTAGTCAATTATTTTTATTTGAAAACTTAGTAAAAAGACAAAATGTGACAATAATGAAATAATTGTATTATGAAAAGGTTTTGTTTAGTCTTGACTAAAAAGCTTTCCAGTTAAAAAAAATTATTGACCATTTTTCATATAACTGAAATATGTAAACGATATTAGATTATATATATATATATATATATATATATATATATATATAATATCTCTTGGAAAAAATGCCTTTTTTGCTTTTTTATTGTCAATGACTCGTCACCAGAAAATTTCAGATCATAATGGAAATATAGTTTTCAATTTTCCTTTTATACATATATATATTTATATATACAGTGTAACCCGGATATAAGAGAGTTGTCGGGACCGGAGAAGAAGTCTCTTATATCCGGGTTTTATATATATATATATATATATATATATATATATATGAGAGAGAGAGAGAGTGAGAGAGTGAGAGAGGCACCACGGCGTGGTGCAATGGTTAGCAAGCTTGTTTCGCTAGATCAGTTACAACTGAAAAATGAGTTCGATCCTCACTATGCCCCATACATTCGGCCTTGTGCCACATCTAAGCTACGCTTAAAAAATAACTAGTTCTCAGCATAAATTATAATCAAGTGACCATACATTACAATTTTTAAAAGCCCTTCAGATATGACATCATATGTTTTATGCAAATACGAACCACAAAGATTATGCCACCACCTCGAAGTCTATCGGTTGTCTTATCCTAGATATAAGATTAGTGGATTTAGAATTACAATCTGGGATAAAGAATGAAACGTTTGCCACTTATATTCGAGATTTTTTTTTGTTTTTTTTACAAAAAAACATCAGAGAGTAATTTTTGAAAGAAAGCAATTTATCGCAATACCAATCCAGAAACAAATTTATCCAATATCAGATATAAAGCGTCTTAAGTATTTGAAAAATTACCCAAACACTTTTTTGAAAAACAGACACTAGATGTACAGGTGAAAAAGAAAACACATTTAAGTTCCATGTAGTTAGAGAAATATTAGTTTAACAGGTTTTTTGGTTATCATTATCCATTCCTACCATAAGTTTTATTCTATTAATTTATTCTCTACAAGTTTTCGCTTTCGAAACTCTTCCTGCCAATCGCAATCTTCAACAATTTAAATGCAATTCTCATCATCTCGCTCCTTGTATCCTGTTATTGTCTCTTGTTTCTTACAAACTCAGTAAACTATTGCATTTTACTTGCTTTTATTGCCTTGCTTGGAGGGAAATGTTTTAAAAAAAACCTCACCGACATTCAAAGATTACGAAATTGGACTGAGGAAGGCTGAAGAAATCATGGGTCAAACCATCGTAGCGGGAACAGTGAAGATAGAACGCGAATCCAATTACGTCCGTGGGCAGCAGTAAGAAGCTGTTAGCGGAATTTAGTTCACACCATTAACGATAATATCTACTACATGAAAAGAAAGAGTGGTTCAAATTCTTAACAAATCCCAGAATGCTTAACCAGGTAAACCGTTCTATACTATATGGTCTCACTTATTTCATTACCTGTAAAATATCACACGTGAATTACTCTCACGTCACATAGGATCCTGAGATAATTATTTGTAATTGGTGAGCTGAACCAGACATCTCACTTCTGTATTTCAAATCACAGATATGCTTAATGCTTAGATAATTGTTTCAGAGGGCTACAACTTAGTAAAGTTCCAGCTCACTCAAGTTGCAACATGCAGACATACATATTCTATACAATTAACCACACACACGTATATTATATATATATATATATATATATATACATACATATATATAGTGATTTTCTAAACCCGTCTTAGATGTGGCACAAGGCCGAAAGTATGGGGGACCCAGTGAAAATCGAACTCACGACTCAGTCGTAATTGATCTAGTAAGACAAACTTTCTAACCATTACACCACGTCAAGGTGCCTATATATATATATATATATATATATATATATATATATATATATATATATATATATATATGTATTTTTATATATATATATATATATATATATATATATTCAGTGTGAGTAAAAATTGTTAATACTAGTATGAGAAGAATCATTTATTCAGAGTTTACTGTACACTCTCCATCTGTCCACCAGCACAATTGATGCACAAAAAAACAGCGATCAACAGTACTATCTAGTGCCTTGACACACATTTCAAATGTTTGATATTTTACGTTTTATTCTGTCCTTGAGTCCTTCGATGTCTCAAACTTTTTTGCTATACACGCGATCCTTTATCCTACTCCATTTTCAGAATTCACACGGTGTAATTGGCCCATATTTCTTTCCAACTCCAACGGTGACTGGAAATGCTTACTTAAAAATGCTGCAAGTGTTTGCCATTGATAACATACCACTACAAATCAGACGAGCAGAGTATTTCCAACAGGATGGTGCACCGCCTCATTTTGTCCCTATAGATCGCGCTTGTCTCGATCAAAGTTTCTCAAATTGTTGGATCGGTCGCGGCGGGCCGTTATCATGGCCAACACACTCCCTTGATCTAATTCCCGATTCATTCCATACCAGTGTTAACATAATTTTGACTCACCACATACATATGTCATTTTAAGCATTGATTTTTTTTAAACCAACATACCTTTTATTATTATGGACATTACATTTAGAGCATCCACGCATTTCAGTAGAAAATAATTTCTTTTGAAATTAATGGCCACCGGCTTAGAAAGGTGTTATTCAAGAAAATTAACCATTATAAATATTTATTTAAGACTTTAAATTTCTAGGCCAGCGGCCATTAATTTAAAAATAAATTGGTTTTAAAGGCTTGTAGACATTAATTTCACTTAAAAAACAGTGGTGTTTACTCAGACACTCACATGCTCTACATATAACTTTTATAGTAATAAAAAATATTTAAGTACAAATATACAGGTCCATAGTTGTAGCATATAGAAATACTATGTTACAACGGCGTAGAAGCACCTCTTAATTGCTGTTCCCAGGTTCACTCTGACCGGTGATGTTTGAACCTGTTAAGGCCACAGCAATGAGCAAATAGTTAATTCCAAAAACTAGGGTCAAAATATAATGAAAGTATATAAATACATTCTCATAGTAAAAACAATTACCAGTAATAAATTATAGGAAATGGAAGAGAAAAAAGAAACGACAATACATTTGACCAAACCCCCCGAGAAAATTAAATTTTGGCATTGAATGACCCATAAGGATTTGATTTCCCGTTAACCAAACCACAACAAACAAACCAAAAGAAGAAAACTATCCCGATTTTCCTCTCGAGATCAATGCATTGATGATGGAGAGGGATTATGCGGACGACATAGATATTCATATTTCGGTTAAAATGATCTTGAAAAGAAAATCAATATTCTCTAAAATGTTTCGAAAACCAAACAAATTACGATGAATGTATATCCCCTCGGGGAAGCCCCGTGGCTTTGGCCTTAAATCCCCCCCAATCCTCAAATGGAACTCGTACATACGATCCATCGCTAAAAATGCCGGCAACATAGCAGTTCTTTGTACAGCTCCTGTAAATACCCGACTCCCCATGTTATCCTCTACATTTACAAGAGCCAGATCATGCCTAAGGTGGAATACTGTTGCCCTATTTGGGCGGGTGCTACCCAGTCCCCACTTTCCAGACTCGATAGAGTCTCAGTGTCTTTCTGGGTGACCCAGCAACCAGTAACCCATCTCTGACAGACGAGATCTGGCAAGCCTCTCACTATCGCTATTTTCATGAAAACTGCTTAGATGAACTACACTCCTTGGTTCCATCACTTCTAACCTTCACAGCTAGGACCCGCCATGCCATTTACATTGCAGCAAACCACCAATATTCCCTCAGTGTTCTATTCGTGGGTAATATGTTCGGCTCGAGCGGTTTCTTACCGCGAATCAACGCTCTGTGGAACCGACTCCCAAGTAAATGTTTCCCCCGAAAGATACAATCTTAACCTATTCATGTCTAGAGTTAACCGTTATCTTTCCACCTGTCCACATAAACTGTGTCTCTCG